CTTCAGTAATACATGAACAGTCTAGCTAGTCTGGCAGACTAATACTTACCCAAGCCATACAGAGCAATTTTTGTTCTACCTTTACGCAATAAAATGGGACTAATATCTATTTTCTCCACGGAAGTTGAACGTCCAAAGTGATTCAACAATCCTGCACAGCTTAAAATATCCAACGCACACAGTGCATCTGCCTGTAGAAAATATTAAGAAACAAATATAAAAACTTTGAACAGAACATTAGTCTTTAAAGTCTAAGTGAAACAGTCTCAAAAGGGAGAGAGAATCTCCTTAAGTAACTTCTGGAGTTGAAAAACCCCACCACATATATTAGCTTTTTTTTTTTAGTACTCATGGGTACAGAAGCAAATCACTTTTCCTTACAAGTCTTGCTTCATTTGAACATGAAATTACACATTAAATCATTCAGAAAAACAAAACCAAAAAAAACCCCAAACAGCCAAAGTCTCTAAGCTACTCCAGAAAATTATCGAGTTAAGCTAACTACTTCACAGTAGGTCCAAAGTTAAACTTCTGTTGTTAAAACACTCATCTCCATGATACACTATTTAATATAAAATGCAAAACTATTAATTCAACACGTGCTTTGCTTTTTAAATGTCCTTTTCCTGCTTACTTTTAGTTGTTGATTTTTAAACTAGCATTTTATCATTAAATCAGAATTTCTTCCTTGAAAATCTAAGATGCGTATCAATTGCATATGCAGAAGTCAAAGTATCAAAATTCTCCTTTAAGAAAAAAGCTTTCAGTCTCTACAGATAGAATTTGTTTTAGAAACTTTCTGAAAAGCTGCCATTTCTTGTCATGAAAAGTGATTCGGTTCTCAATGACAGAAATCTATGTAAATTAGGAATTTAAACATAGTTCATATGGATCCCTTCTTTCCATTCTCTTTTTTAATGTCACACTTGACTTGTCACTAATTAACACAATTCCAAAAGATATACAAAATACTTAAATGAAGAGTGGAACAACTGACTAAAACTAGCCTGATCTCCAAGAACTGTATTTCTATACAAGTGTCTATTTCTATAGTATTATTTTTGTAATACAACAGTATAGTACAATTATGATAATAATTACCCCCGTGGGATCATCATGATTGCCATGAATACTAAAAATTGGAATAGAAATGTTGAGATTTTCATCCTGATAATTCACCCATGGAAACCTGAACAAGAAGAGGAAAAAAAAAGTTAAACTACACCTGCGAATTTGTGGACAATTCCCAACATTGTCTTCAAATTAACGTCATCACAAATACATCATCACAGCAGCACAAATGAGTACTAAGTGGCTATGAATAAGCTAAAGCTGCACAGCGTAAGAAGATTCTTACTCATGGACTGGAATGGCACTTCCCACTGGGAACAGGGTAGCAAAAAGATCCTGTTTTTTAGAGCAAGCCTATGAAAAGAATTGTACAACATCTTTGTGTGGTACGTGCAAGAGCAGTGGACTGGGCTGCGCAACCTTGCAAACACACAAAGAACTGCTGATTTTACCACAGCAATTCATGTAAATTGGTTTACTTGCATTGTACTTGCAGGATAGAAACTGTATATTACATAAATGTATCAAATGTCACAACACATTCAGAAATTTCTCAAAAAATTGTGTGCATTCCTCTGTAGACTTAGATTATAAAAGATGATAGGTGAAGTCATCCTGTAAACTGTCCCACACAAAGAGGCCTAAAACTTCAAGGTTCCAATCACGGAGGATATAAATCATAAAAATCACAACACGTTCACCCAAAACACAAACCAAACCTTACACCATAATTTATAGGAACATACTTACTTGCTATAATGAAAATTAACTGTCTGATCACTCAAAATTTCAAACTGAACAGGACGATCGCCCATGCAGTATTTTCTTAGTGACTCCAAACAAGAGTGTACTGTTTTTCTGGAAGGTTTATTTTCATGAAAAAGGTCCCCACCTAATAAAATAAAGTCCACCTGTATGTAACAAAAAGCTCTATTATTTTAATAAAACATTTTGTATTCCCTTGAAAGACTTCTAAGCAAATTGTTTAAATTATTTCTTCTAAGGAGTTCCACATATCTCCTCATATCTCATAGGTAAAACGAGTTGGTAGTTCCAGACACGGTATTTAATTTCCTCATGAAACAAACATTAACTAAATTATTCATTAAAACAAAACCAAACCCAGAAAGACCCATTAGTGAAGAGCTACAGGAGAAAACAACTGATAGTGTTGAAAAAAAAAAAAAAAAAAGTGAAGTGTTTTAATAAGGGTCTCCAGATTGGCTCCTGAACATTGTCGTTGACAGGCATGAAGAGACACATCATCGTTTCATTGCTGTGGCACCTAAGTGGGAAGAAATCAGTAGCTATCGCCACATTACTTTGAGAAGGTACTAGCTGCAGTTTCTGTATATATCTAGCTTTTGAAAAAGCGTTAGGAAAAAAAAATCTTCTTCAAAATTACAAATAATTTGACTTAGAAACATTCAATCCTTAAAACCAGAAACAACACTTTAAAAGTTTCTAACTTTTTTTCCTACTTTCTGAGTTGTCTGAAGACTTTGTACCATTACCCCTCACTTTCCCCAATTATTTTCCTTTCTTGCAGTGACAAATCCTCTCTAAATACCACTGGAACTGGTGCAGGCAATCTGAAAACACCGTTAATGCAACCAGGGTCATAATTTATGAGTGCTCTCACAAAGGAATAGACATTCCTTTTTTTAAAACAGAAACGTAACTGGTCGCAATAAATAGTTTAGTTCAGTCATTTAATTTGATATTACTAAAGATTGCACCAGGACTAAGCTTTATAGCTTCTGGCAGGTTGGAACGTATTTTCCACAGTCTCACTCCTTCGCTTTCCAAAAAGCAGTACTTACTTCATTTTTTTGAGCATGGTCCAGAATTTCATTAAGAGTTACAAATGTATCATTTCCACGCACTGGATCCTTCTCCAAATAGCCAAGATGAATATCAGTAGCAATAAGTATTTTAAAGGTATCTTCATCATCCCTGAATAAGACAGGAAAACTTGTGTTAGAGAGCAATATACTTAAGAATTTCAACACAGACTTTATTAAGGTAAGCTGTTCTGTCCAAAGTCATTAAATACAGAGGAGATTTGTTATAAAACTCTATCTAAATATCATTCCTGTAACATTCTCAAAACAGTTCACTACTTTCATTGCAAATAGCACTTCACCAAACCAATCAGTTTGCAGATTTGGTTATCCCAATCAGCCTACTCTAGTAAAGGGCTGCAACCATCTCTCTGAAGTATCTAATGAAAAACTAAAGAATCCTTTGTATGTTTTCTGCCTTTCAAAAGACTTGGTGAACAAACATTCCATTTCTCTCTTTGCACTGGTAATCTACATCTATATGAAAGCAAGTACAACGATCATAAGGACCTGAGGGAAAACACAAAAGATGATCTGAGTTTTTCTCAACTCATTCCAAACACACAAAAGACTCGCTATCTGATACGACAGAACTGCACGGAGCTGCAGACAACAGGAGCTTACTGTGAGTTGATGGTACTCATCTTCGCGCCAAGGCTCCTCACAAAAAGGCTCTGGACACAGCTTAGTAAGTCAGGTCAGGAAGTCAGCTTCTGTCGTCATAGGTGCTACGTAAAGCCTGAGAGACAAAAATAGAAATGAATTAGAATGAAGGGCACAGTGAGCTGAACGATCAGTTACCCAGTCTTCTACTGGCGATTATTGCTTGCAAAAAAACTCAGGATAAGGGAAGATCCGTGTTTGGTTTAACCACTGACTACTGCACAAGCCGCAGGGCCACCCCGTGGGGCGTCGCCAGCCCTCTCACACCGCCCGCGCGGGAACGGAGCGCCGCTCCTCACGCCCCCCTCCCCGGCAAGGCCAGCCGGAGGCGTGGAAGGAACGTGCAGCTTCACGGGAACGGCCGCAAAACGCGACTGGGCAGGAGGCAGGGCGGATGGGCACGGCGGCACCGGGCCCCCGGGACGAGCACGACCGCCATCGGGTTCAGCATCGGCGCACGGTAACGGCGGCGGCAACC